GCACAACTCATTGGGTTTGAAATGGTGGAAAATGAACAGGGTAATATGTATGTATGGAAAACCTGAAATATTTTCAATAATGAAGGATGTTAATGATTGGATTGGACCACCAAATAACAACGGTGCCATCAAAGAAGTGACCATTAATGCAGATAGCACTTGTGGAAACGGGGGGGAGGGTGAACATCGGTGGCGGCAAATCAGGTGGGAACATGTTCTGTGAAATATTATCTCATTCCATAACATTTCATTTTAAATCATTGACACTTTGGGGTACCAGAATATGACATGTTTGTGCTTATAGGAACATGGTTGCCTTCAGAAATGTAGTTAATGGCCAGCCTTTTGCAAACTGGTGGGACAATGGTAGCAACCAAGTAGCTTTTGGAAGAGGAAACAAAGGCTTCATTGTCTTTAACAATGATGACTGGTAAGTAGATACCAATTATAAATGGATTTTATACCATTATATTCATGTATCATTCTTCATTTTCCCTAATCATTAGAAATGTTTATATCTGAGAATTTTTATATTAATGAATTTAAGGAAGCAAAGATATCTGCAAATTGCAGAAAATACAAAGTGTCTATGTTTCTTGTCTCATTTTCCCATTTTCCCCATATTTCAGGTGAACTCTTGTGTATTCTTAGCATGTCATTCGTATACATTCATATTTAATGCTCATAAAGTGCACGCCATAAAACACATAATCATAAGAGACAAAATCACTAAAGAATGTACAGAGTATTAGAGTATCTGAATGTCAACTGTTATTTTATCCATTCTTCTGATAAATTGTCTTCAGGTTTCTATTTCTGTATGATAAATGTTTTTGAAGTATATCTGTAGTTCCTCATTATATATTCTTGCTTTCAGGGGTGCTTAATTGAGCTTCTAAGACTTTCATTAAAGTCCTTTCATTTGGGACAATAACATCCTATCTGTATTAATGATCACCTCTTGTGTAGGACTATAGCTCAGAGAATCACTATGCAAGCAGGTGAAATCTCTCCAAATTCAACTTGTACTCAGGTTTAAATTATATTGAGCATAAAGCATAATTTATTGCTGAAAAGGAAATAATTGAAGTGTATCATTACTTTAGTGACAAACATATAGCTAGCTCTGTAATTTCATTCATCTTCTATGTGAAAGAATGAAAATAAATTTGTACAAATAGCTTTATATTCCAAACTGTATTTCTCCACAGTAATCTAGATTATTTTACCCTGTAGCCCTGGATTTTAGCACCTCTCAAGCAAGTAAGATTTGGAGAAATGATGCCATTACCGTTCCTAAAATTAATTAGTGTTTTCTGTAGGTCAGCAGAGGACAAATTTTAAATGAATATATTCCTCACAGGTGGTGGTTTTATCTGAAAACTACACTGATACTCTTTGACTTTCACTGCTTGGTAGAATTCCCCACAGCCTGGGAATCTGCTAGTCTTTGAAAAGAGGAATAGATCCTGAAAATATTTTCACTCCAACCGGAGAGGTCTTGGTGTTGGGATTTTTCTCACTGAGGCCTTTTCTTCTTACAGTCCCACAGCACAAAGTTCTGCCATCTGTTTTAGAGACTGTTGATCCTCGTGCACTTGACTGTGTTGAGCTTAATTTAAATATTAACTTTTTTGCTTTCAGGTCACTGTCAGCAAAGTTACAGACTGGTCTTCCTGCTGGCACATACTGTGATGTCATTTCTGGAGACAAAAGCAATGGCAGTTGCACAGGAATTAAAGTCCAGGTTTCCGGGGATGGCACAGCGCAGTTTTCCATTAGTAACTCAGCTGAGGACCCATTTATTGCCATCCATGCT